TGTATAAATATATATATATATATATATATATATATATTATAATTTAAAAATAGAGCTATCAAAATATATTTAAATAATAAAGTTATTTAATAATATATTTTTATATTCTTAATTCTGTTATTATTAAATTAATATATTATGTTATAATTTTATTTATTTATAATTATAATAAACAAAAATTATATTATATTAAAAATTAAAAATATTTATACATGATTACACTTTTTAAATAATCAATTTATTTAATAATAAATTATTATATTTAAACAATTTAAAAAATAGTTAAGTCTTTGAATAGGAATAAGACATAATCAAAACTAAACGAAATAAAATTTAAAAATAAAATAATAAAATTATATTAATATATTTTTTATACTCTTAATTTTATTATTATTAATTTAATTATTATATTAATATATTATGTTATAATTATTTTTATTTATAATAAATAGAGATTGCTTAAATTTGAATTATATTTTATTTGAAAGTAAAAATTTATAAAAAAATAAAAAAAAATAAAATAAAAAATTTATTATAATATATATTAATATATATATATATATATATATATATATATATAATCAGACCATGTAACAAATAATATAAATAATATAATTATAAATAAATTATATGATAATATATATTTTTATAACTTGCATATGTTTTAATTAAATTATTAGTCAATTTATCAATTTATATGTAATTTATAAGTATATGTTTTAATTTATTATATCACTAATATTTTCTATATTACATTAATATTATAGTATAGTTAATTTTACATTTATTTGTTAATTTAAAATAACAAATTAATGAGATAAATAAAATTAAATATTTTATAATTATTTTTTAATTTAATAGTTATTATTATTTTCATTTTATATATATAGTACATTAAGTTTAAATTTTTATATTAAGTTTTATCACATATTTTTTAATTAAGATAAAAATTTGGAAATATAAGTTATTTTAATTTAAATATAAATTTTAATAATTGTTCCTATGCTCATATGTTATTTATCTTCATCTATGAATTTTATAATATAAGTATTTATCATCTACAATTTTTATAATGACGATATTTATTTACTTTTTAAAATATAATAATTTTTTTAGCTGATTCAATAAATTTTATAAGTATTATTTTTTGTAATTATTTTTTTAATTTAATAGTTATTATTATTGTCATATTATATATATATATATATATATATATATATTGCAGTAAGTTTAAATTTATTTTTTTAAAAACATATAATTTTATTTTAATTGATTCAATAAACTGTGTGAATATTATTTTTTTTTATCAATTTTATGTATTTACTATAACTTTATTTGTTGAATACAAGATGTCTTTAAATAAACAAAATATGTTTATAAAATAAAACTAAAATATTTACTATTTATATAATTTTAAAAAATAAAAAAAATATAAATATAAATTTTATTAATATAAAATATTTATAATTAATACTTAAATAATATTTTAAAAATTATTTATAAAATTATATAAATATTATTATAATTATTTAATAATTATTAAGAACATAGATAGAAATTAGAAAAATGTATAAACTAATTTAATAATAAAATATTTATATTTTTATTAATATTAAATTTTTTTAACAGGCTTTATTAACAGGCTTCAGGCTAGGCCAGACCACTTAAACAGGCCAGGCCAGGCCTAAAATAAAGCCTTTAACAGGTAACAGGATAGGCTCAGACCTAATAATTATGTTACAAGACAGGCCTGTTTAGAGTAAAGCCTGGCCTGCCCTGGCATGTTTCCATTCCTAATGTAGATCAATTATGAGAAATAAGATAACCATGTTTTCCATTATTTTAGTTTCACCCTAAGACACTTAGTGGCTCATAAAAAACATTAACTTAATCTATAGATTTTAAGGTTTGTTTAGTTTCTGAAAATGTTTTTTTGTTTTCTCTTTTTATTACCAAACGGATCTTGTTTCGTTATGTTTCTTGTTTTTTAAGATTTGTTCATGAAAAATTGAAAGAAAGAGAGAGTTATTTTTAGTGTTTCTTATACAAATCTTTAAAAATAAAAATAAGACAAAATAATTCCTGAAATCAAGCAGAGAACGACCATGTTTTCTTGTAATGTGCCTTAGTTTAACTCTCTTACAAAAGAGGGTTATTAGACAAAAAAAAGAAAGTTCATGTCAACTAATTTCTAATGACATTTGAAAGAATAATTAACGCAGTTAATTATTTAGCATATAAATATGTGTTTTTGTTTACTCTCAATCTTTCATTTGTCACTTTTTCCGTAATAAATATGTGTTGTTTAAAAGTATATTATTTTTTATTCTTTAAAACAAGCTCTTTACAATTTGTTTATTATTACCAAATGGTCTTATGATTTTTATTTTTCATTTGATGCTTTTAAATATTGTGAGTTTTATTTTATATTATCTTCATAAATATCATAAAATTTTTATTTTCAGTTGTAGGCACAAAGTAGCTTTCATCTTGGATCCTCAATGAAGTCATTTCCTATGTCCTATCTATGATTAAAAAACGCAATCTGGCTTTCTCAGGAGTCTAGTTTGGCCAGTATCTGTTCCTAAATGCAATCTGCTACTGTCTGTGTATCCCACTTAGATACATTCTAATTTATATGTAATATAACCCTCCCGTGTTTGCATTAAAACTTGTCTCAAATTGCAGATGCAATAAATCTTAGTTTTCCAAATTCAAGTTGATTTCTAATTTATTTGACTAACTAAAGCTTGTTTGATCAAATTACACATATTTGGCGAAGGAACTTATTTTGGTAATGATTAAGTAATACACTCTTAATTTTTTTTTTCTTGCTGCCTTATCATAGTTTCGTCGTTTATGTGTGTTTTTTTTAATTGTTTATACTTATTAATTAATTTAACAATTTTTTTACTAAATATTTTTTAACAAGATAACTTATTAGTTTTCAGCCTTTAGTTTCTTGTTATCTTTCATCATAAAGAAGCATATATTAATAGTCTCAACTCAACTTAAGGGCCTACGAGATGACAGTCTCTTTAATTAAAATAAAAAAGATTTTTAAAATAAAAAAAAGGCTCAAACAAGATGACTTTCATTGAGTGACTAAGTTAAATAATGTTATAGCCTTTTTGGTGTGCACTTGAACTTCATAACAACATATCTCTTCTATAATATTTTATATTAAATATAATACTCATCCTTATCCTTTTTAAATCCCATAATTTCTACAATATCAATTTAGTTTTTCAATTATAAAATGTGGTGTTAGTTTTGTTTCTCAATCAAGTACTCCACATCAAAGGTATTTCTACAAAATCCTGTTTTTTTTTTCAATAATGAAAGTGGAAAGTGTTAATTATATTTTTATGTAATAAATATTTTTCAATTTTTTTTCATAATTTAAGTCTCGTAAAGTTCCTTTTAAAAACCGAAATCAATTTCATATATAGACTTTTAGAAAATAAAATAAATGTTTCCTTTTCATGGGTCATTAGAGAAGGTGGGTTGTTCCTAGAACCCACCGATTATAGGGTAAAGCATTCACACAATAAATGGAGCAGCCTCTTCCCATTTTGTTTATGGTCTAACCACCAACACTTACATGTGGTTATGAGCTTCGGACTCCAGTATAATGAACATTGTGTCTTAGACATGACTCGTGGGATAAGAGAAAAACAACGAAAGTAAGGCTAGAGATAATTCGGAAAAATAAAAGGAGAAGATTAAGAAGTTTATTTAATTATTTTCAAGTTATATTTGTTTATTTTTTATGGATGCAGTGAAATACACACGAAATAAGGATTTTGAATGAATAGTTTAATGAATGGTAATGACATTATTCAAATCTAAGGTTAAAATTATGTTGTGCCATGAAGCGTTAGTAAATTAATAACAACAAAATAAAAAAGGACTTTATAGTTGGAACATTTATAGCTTAGGGACTACATTTTATGTCAGTTTACAAACAGATTAAAGTTCAAAATGAAAAATTATTTCCAATATAGTTTCACTATGACTAAAGTTGTTAAAAATAAGGGGATACGGAGGTTTGATAATGTAATCGGGATCAAATCATACTTTATAACATTTTAAAAAAAATAAATTTGATTAATTTAACTATTGTATCACGTGTAATGTTTCGAAGATTAGAAGCCTATATGTATAAATTTTTATACAATTTAAACATTTATAGATGTATATAATCTAATATGAACTATTTATTTATATATATTAAATAATATATTATATGTTAAAATATAACAGGACAATGAAATATTTATATTTAAATTATTTAAAATTTAATATCTTAATCTACTTTATAAAATTTTAAAGTAAATAGTTGGACTAGATAGAGATTTGCAATCCCTCTTATGACCTCAAGTGGCAGAAAGCTAAAAATATACATAAAAAATATTGATTTTTCTGGCTTAGTTGAGGCAATTGGCTATTCTGGCGAGATTTTGTGTGTGGGATTAACACTCTCTGCGGACAGTTGATGTAATTTACTTTAGCTATAAAGACAAGCAATTTAAAATTCTTTTTATTTGATATAAAAATTATTAAATTAAAATTCTACAGTATTTTAAAACAACCTTTTCTTACTTTCTAAATCCATGTAATACAGTATTTTTGAATTCTTTATCTAAAGACAACACAACCCTAAGGTGGCTGTTTTCCTTCTCTATTGTATTCTCACATTCGAGATCTGTTAGCCCAAGCAACTGACAGCTGAGTTTGGTAGGAGGAACTAGAAAGCTCCGGGTAGTAACGGATTTCAAGCAAGTTTCTACAAAATTCGAGTCCCTCACCATTAACCCAAACCTAATGGAATACACCAAGGGTTTTACTAGGGAAAAAACATTGTTAAAAACCACATCACTTATAGTTTCATTTAATGCAACAAATATTGATATCACTAACCTCGAAAAACGCAGTAACTCTTAAAAGTACAAACAGGCCAGCACAAGTATCAACTACGTTGAAACTCAAACAAGATAAACAGAGAACCAAAAGAACATGCAAGCTATTAATCTTGAAGGCAAACCAGTTTATTGTTGCCATTTATTAGAAAATGCCTGAGGCAAGATCATAGCTAAAAAAATGCAGTTCACATAAGATTTCAACAAAAAAGCTGTCCATATTTTTCTTCTTCAGAGAAAACATTCTACCACAACATTAATACAAATTCAAACTCCAACTCCAATCAAAATAGCTTCATGCAATACTTAATATATTCAAGGAATGGTTCGTTGATACAGGGGCAAACCTCCCAATGCATCACGTTCTGCTCTCTCCCTCTTGACCTGCAAACCATGGGTAGCAAAGCACTTTTAGCGACAATTTTAGCAGCAGTTATTAGGCAGTTAAATTTTCAAATTTAAGAAGTAACACGTTCTGCTAAATGCACATATCCTCAAAAGCAATACACTCATCCAATCAAAAGTTGATGTATCACGAAAGTTGGGTTTGCAGTAGATTGATTTTATGATACTTTATAGTAAAATCTAGATTGTTTGGTGCATTACTCAAATTATACAGGTAGTCAATAATCATATCTTAGCAGTCACCAGATGCCCAGTACGTACCTGGTAGCATAAGGCTCTCATAAGTCATATGATTCATATTATTAACCTCCCACAGGACAAAAAAAGAAAAACACTATATTTTCATTTTTTTCCTTTTCTGATCATTATTCTGAAAACAATGAGTTGAAAACGTAAAATTGGGGTTACTTTTGCTCAAATATAACTCCTAGTGAAAAATAGTCATATCCCCATATCCAAACAAACCAATATAATGATGTAGAAAGGAGGAAAGAATAATGTATACTAAACCAAAGAAAATATCGCAGATAATTGCAAAATATCCATGATCCATCTAATCTAGCATAGCTGGTACTAACAGAAATAGCTAAAAAAAGTGAAACATAATAGGTCATACGTTTTTTTGTCTTGGAAAAACAGAAAGCAATTAAATCATCAAATATGATACAATATTTCTTGAAATAATTAAGATCCTTCCACAACAACAGTTCTAGCAATCAACAACACCTCTTGCAATCTAAGCAATGCACTTAAGAGAATAAGACTGTCAAGTTAATTGGGGCATCGAACACAAACAAACTGTTGTGCAAACTGCAAAGAAACTAACACAGTGGATTCACATGGTCCTCAGTGAGGGGGTTGACAGAAAAGTTTGGAGAATCAAGAAGGGTTTCATCACCCTCCATTAAACCAATATTCACATTTAGTCATTCATATCAACATATCATAATAGCACATACAAGGGTCAGCATATCCTGAAGGTAGCCCCTGAATGGTGTTTGCATTGCCTGTGAAGAAGACAAAAACAGAAACTATGAGCATTCAATAAAAAATTAACAGCAATGGTCAAAAGAGACAAAGACATGCCCGTCCTACACGCAAATACCAACCACGGACATCATATTAAATCTTCTCTGATATTTTCAAAGAAACCAGACACAGAAATCAATTCAAAGTGCATTCACAGAATTTAAAGTGAGTGGTAGTGTGTGCTTCACATAAATGTTAAACAGACCTAATTTCTCAAACCCTCAAAGTTACCAATTCATATTAACACGAAAGAATGATTATCCCCATTCTAACATTCTGCCCAATCCAATTTTCAAGCAGCGGATAAGTATATTCATACACATCCACCATGCCTCAAAACATAATTAGTTAGACCTGGTCACATCTTAGCATTTCAATATGAATAAATAAATAAATAAATCCAAAATAATAAAATAAATGAAAAAAACCTGAAGATCTTCAGGGAGGTACTCGTGCTTCATGGAAAGGTCAATGGCGCGTTTAAGACGCGCGTGGCGTGCATCAACAATCTCCTTCGGAAGCCGATTAAGAGCTTCCTTCACATCTATATCGTAGTAAGGGTCGTAGAGATCATCATATCGGAGCCCTAAATCCAGAAAATTATTGAATCACATACAAATCAATAGGGTTAAGAGATTGGATTTTAGGGTTTTGGGAATTGGAGAAAGAGAGAAAGAGAGAAAGAGAGGGATTAACCGTATTTCCGAAGGCGTTTGGAGAGAGATTTCATGTGCTGAGCAGCGAACCAGTTCTTCTTTGGATCCAGAAACGATTGCAAAAACGACGCCATTGCACTGTTCGCTTCTCTCGCTGTTTCGTTAGAGTTTCCCGAACAATCGCAGAGGAAGAAGACAAACAAGTGCGTTTTATAAAGGTTTTTGAGTGTACGACGATTACTTTTCCTCGCGTTGTTGCTTCCTTCGAGTGAGTGACATGTCGTTTTTGCCTCGACTCCCAATTTGTTATATCATAAATAAAGGCTTAATTGATTTGTATAAATTTGTAAGAAAAGATCTAGCAAAAAATTTGTAAGAAAAGATATGTAAAATAAAATATTTTATCATATTAAATTAATAATATGATATATTTTTATTTATTATTAAATGAAATTTTGATGTAAAAGTTTCTGAATAATTATCCATTAAGAAAAATAAATATAAGTAATTTAAATTAAAAAATCTTACATTAAAGTATGGGGTAAAAAAATCTCAATTTATTAATAATTTTATAATTAATTTCTTCATGTAAAGCTTTTTAAAACTAATTACGTAGCCAAAATTAATAAAGATACTAACGAGTTTAACATGCATTTTATGAATATTATTATATTAAAATAATTTTAAAATAAAATATAAAAATATATAGTATTAGTATTTTTAATTATTTTAAAAAATTATTATTAATAATAAATATTTTTTATATACAAAATATGAAAAACTTAAAATATGATATTTTTAAATTTAAAACAGAATTATAAAAAATTGAATTAAACATATTCAGTATTTAACATAGAAGAAATCAGATGATATAATAATACAAATAATAAATTTAAAAATATTTTCATTTAAGATAATTCTTAAAAATACTCTTTTAAAAATATAATAAGGCAAGTGGTATTTTTGGGATATAAATTGTACTTATTTTTCTTAAATTGCAGTGTTTTGTTTTTTTATATAAAAAAAATATATTTAATATTAAATACATTCCTTTCTTTTAAAAGACATATGTTACATTTTAGTTTTTGAATGACTTTTTATTTATTTAAGAATCTTATAACAGGTTTGTTTTCTTTTTAAAAGTAATTTTTTTATTTTTTAAAATAAAATTCAATACAAATTTGTATTGTATTTTATTTTTAAAAAGAAAAACAAACATGCTCTCAGACAATTTTACTTTAAAAATAAAATGAAATATTTCTGTTTAAATCAACAATAATTTTTTTTTCTTTCAAATAAAACATAATTTTTTCAAAATTAATTGTCCTTTACGTAGCTGAGCCTTATTTTTGTTTTTTTACCTAAAAATTAAAAAATGTTGGGTTGGGTCCTTATATATATATAATTCAATGATAAGTGGGTCTTTAATTCCTATTGATACTAGCAACTTAATGTGTTTGAAAACAATTTAAAACCGTTGGAAAAAAAGATAGTACAAAATCTGACATAGTAGGTGGAAGCACGCAGAATTTGAGAAAAAATTGGAAAAATCTCGTACCAATAGTTTGTAATTTTGCCAGTCTAACTAAAATATGCAAGAGGGTTTATAATTTTATCTAGTAAAAAATTACAAAATAATAAAATTATGTTAAGAGTTCATAAATACAAATAAAAATTGTTTGTTCAACAAAAAATGGGACTGCTTAATATTTAAGTTGATGGAAGGATATATTATAAAAGGCTTGTTAAGCTTTCATTATATAATTACACAAATAGGTTTATTCAAGTAGTAGAGGTTAAGCGTGGTAAAGAGAATGTATCTCTAGAAAAAATGGCCTAATCCTTATAATTAAGCTAATTCTTGCAATTAATCTTAAAGGCTAATGCAACAAATCAATTTATATTTGATAATTTACAATACAATAAATTCATCAAAAAAATCTCAACACTCTCTTTTAAGTTTGTGCATAAACATAAATTTGCCTAACTTGATTAAAAATTTAGAGAATACAAGTAGATGCAATCTTTCAATATATTTCTTATACTGATTCCTCAAATACAAGATTCTTAATGTTTTATTTGGATGTTTGGAAGGAAAGAAAAAAAGGGTTTGTAGGAAAAAGGAAGGGAAAAGAGGGAATAGAGTTAAGTTCCTCTCTTATTTGAATGTTTAATATTGAGAGGAAAGAGTAATGGAAGCTTTAATTATATAAATGATATTATTGTCCTTTATAACTTTTATTTATATATTTTTTTTATATTTTCTATTTTTTTAAAATATAAAAAAATTAAATATATTTTTCTCTAAAATATTTTTATTTTGTATACATTTTTAAAAAAATGTCACTTTAAAAACTAACATATTTTGAAAAAAATATTTTAGTACTATTCTTTTCTTTAAAATTAACATCACATTCTTGTAAGAAAGAAAGAAGGGATAAATTAATCATCTTAAAATTTTACTTAAAAAAATTTAGATTAGGGAAACTAAAAAAACTAATATTAGAAGAGTTTTGGGTATAGAAAAACTCGCTAACCCTTTTCTTCATAATTAGTTAATTTCTAAATAAGGGTTAAACTCCACTAACCCTTCCCTTCTCCTCCTAAACATGAAATTCAAATATAACTTAAAAGTATTTTTTGAATAATGATTTCACATATATTTAATAAATACTCCAACATTAAAGATAAGAGTTAAGAAGTAATTAATATGTTGAAACATATTCCTAGCATTACAATATATCGAGTGAGTTTCATTCAATTTTTGGTTTAGATTGTTTTCTAGCTAAGCTAAACCTTGAATCCTAAATCAAAATACTATTGATTAAAATAGAATAAAGCTACCAATATCTATATAAATAGAATATATATATATATATATATATATATATATAATCAAAATACTTTAGAGTTGAAGATTATATCTAATCTCACAAGGAGTTTAGTCGCTCATAACGTCCATCACAACCAAAAAAAGAAAGGAAAATGAATATAAAATAGTTCTCCAATCTTTTTCAATGTATGCCCTAATATTCCTCTTGTTGGATGCTCTTTGTTCCTCCTTTCGTCCTTGATTCTTCTTTTTTAAAAGTAGAGTTAGTGAATTCTTATTCAAGCAAGAAAGTTTTACTCAAGCTAAAAAGGCTAAGACCCAAGTTTGTTTCTTGCTTGAGCAAAAATAGGTTTAGGTTATTGCCTTCGGTCTCCTTTGCCTTTCATACTCATTAAGCTCTTGTAAATCAAGAAATTTAACAAAAATAATTAAATTTTTTTTATCTCAATCTTTAACCCAAAATAATTGTTTAAATTTAAATTCTTCAAAATTAAAAGAAAACATAAATTTAAATTTAAAATAAATTTATTTAAGTAAATAAGTGTCCAAATTCATATTATAATTTACTAAAACTTGACACATATCACTCATTTGAATTTCGGTAACCATAACCAAATCATCCTTGTGAATTCATTTATAAAAGTAACAAATCAATGTGATCCCCTAAAGTAGAAATCTTAAAAGGACCCAAATATTTGAATGTATAAGCCTAAAAGGAACATGAATTTTTATTCAAACTAAGTGAAATAGGGACATAGTGACTTTTTGCTTGTTCACATACATCATAATGAAAAGAAGAAACATCAAACTTTGCAAAAAGTATAAGAAATAATTTTTTAAATACCCAAATGAAGTATGTCCTAAGTGACGATGTTATAACTACATTTCAATTATCTCCTCTTTGTTAGAACTATCCACTGTATCTTTTTTTAACTTCGTTGAACCTTTTATCACTGAGTCTAAGTAGTATAATCTTTCTTATTGAACATCATAACCAATCATCTATTTGGTGTGAATGTTCTAAAAAACACAAAAATTAGGCCTGAAATAACAATAAAATTTATACAAATCAATTTGTATAAAAAAAAAATAAATTAAACTACGATGTTGTCACATTAACTTCATTATTATCGTAGCATGCAAATAAAAATTTGAGTTTTTTTAGATGCCAATAACATGTGAATATTAAAAACAAAAATAATTTTAGAACATGAGCAGCAAACAAAAAGGATAAGCAGTAACATTTCATTCTCCTTACGTCTTCTCTATTACAGCTTCATAAAATTTTGGAACATAAATATGCAACATAGTCTCTATCACAACTTCTCTTTCATTTTTTCGCCTGAATATTTCATCTTTTCCGGGTGCAGGAACATTTAAATCTTTATCTAAAGCTGTCCATTTTCTTGCGAAAGATATACAATTGATGAAGTCTTTGTTTTTTCGTTTAAAACACGAGGAACATTTAAATCTATTCTAACATTGCTCTTGCTTTACCAATCCTTGAAAGTGTGGAGTTTTCATCATCTTTTGCATCCATAGAATCTTGAACTACCTTAAAATCAATGGAGTCTTTTATTTCCTTATGAACAGAGTCTTTATTCTAGGTATCAAAAGAATATGGAACTACCTCCACTTCTATGAAATCTTCACCTCTTTCTAAATTGAGGAAGTGATCTTCTTTGGTACCTTCATAAGGAGTCATGCTATACAAAACAAGAGACTATTCATATGAGGGATTATATAAGCTATCGTTTCACCTCATGGTATAGTTATACGAGAGAAAGTACAAGTTAGGTGATTCTAAAATATTTAATATGTATGCTACTGAAAGGAAGGAATTCGAAGAGTTTTAGCAGCTAAACCAAAAAGTAGACAGAGACTTTTAATAAGGTGGTCAGTTATAATTAGGAATAATATTGGTAAAAAGAGAATAAATGCGTCTTAAAATTTGTAAGCGATTAAGAAAATAATTAGTTGTATGTAAGGAACAAGAAAGGTAGCAACAATTATTAGGATAATCATCGTTAGATACTGTAGTAGTAGATAATGAGAATTATAATGATGATCATGTATAAATGTTTCTAAAGATACAAGATTGAGTAAGATTTTCAAAATTAAAATACCAAAGACAAGATAACTTTTTTGTTTTGTTTTTTAAAATTAAGTTAAAATCCAATTAAGCTCTATTTTTATCAAGCATATTTTGCTTTAGAATTTACATTTAAAAATAAAATTTTAAAACTTGAAACCACTATAAACAAATCCTAATAGGTTAGATTTAAAATTTAAAATCACAAATAAAGGAAGGAAATTATAAAAAATAATAATTCATAGACTATTTATTTGTATATTTATTATACTTGCATAAGAAAATAAATGGATGGGTGTTAAAAAATATATTTATATTCTATCGTGTAAATAAAAAAAATTCAAATGTAATTAAAATACTATGGAAATTCATAAAAAAAAACAAAGAAAATGAAAAGTGGTAATTGATGCATATGCCTTAAGTTCATAATGAGATAACGCATTGAATCAAAGTTTTAAGTCAAACTCATTTTGATTTGAAGTTAGAGGCAATGTCAAATGTCATATGATAAGACGTCCAACAAGTTAACAAACACCTTACATAGCGACTAATAAGCTATCATTTGCGGACATTGGGAAACTTGTATTCTAATAATAGCAACCATTTCAAAGGCTATAATAACAAAAGAGAAAAGAATCTTTAGATTCCTTAAACAAAAAAGGATTTTAATTTGGGCCAAATGACATAATGACAAATGGACAGTTTATATTCAACAATAGACCCTTTTATATTATCATTGTTAACCAACAAAACATTAGTGGTAAAGGAAGAGCGCAAAAGAAAAGGAAAAGAGAAGATAACAATTTCTATTTTTGGATGGAGAAGAAATACAAAAATGTCTCTCTTTACTTTAACAAAAAGATGACAAAAAAATGACAATTCATAAAAAGAATATGAAGAAGTTTCAAATGTGTGGTATAGGTGACGATAAACAAGAAGTTGATGAAGGGGATATCGAACCAAGAGAAGAGGATAGCCAATACAGTCTCACAGGCATTCTTCTTCCATCTCTTGGTGCCACAGCTATTTGCAATGACAATCAGAAACATAAGCTTCGTCGTTTCATTATATCCCCAAATAATCACAATTACAGGTAATAATTAATGGTCATAATTCTCTTGTCTCTCTTTCTCTCTTAATTAGTGGATAAACACAATTTCTTTCATTTTGTTATGTTATAAGTTCTTTGAGAAAACTCACAACATAAAAAGTAATTATTTCTTTAAAAAAGTATTATTTAGTTGAAAAATATTTGTAGAAGCTATGAATTAGTTATTTAATCAACTTGAATATTGACAACCATACTTGGTTTGTTGTAATTAAGAAAATGCATTTTTAAATAAATTCTTTACTATCTTTTCTTGTCAATTTTTTAAAATATATTAAGCTTATCATGCACTAATTATTTACACGTGAATGTTAAAAATTATTTTATAAAGAGTTATCCTATTATTGAATTTTAAAGAGATAAGAATAGATGAATGATTTACATGTATATATGATTTTATAGTAATATATAATAATAATAATAATAATTATTATTATTATTACAATAATAATAATTGATATTTCAGGCTATGGGACAAGTTTCTGGTGATATTGGTTTTCTACACTGGTTGGGTGTGTCCATTTGAATTTGGTTTCCTTGACAAATCTAAAGGTCCACTCATTATAACTGACAATGTTGTAAATGGACTTTTTGCCATTGATATTGTGCTTACATTCTTCGTTGCATACCTTGATAAATCCACTTATTTACTCATTGATGATCATAAGCTCATTGCTTTAAGATATATTAAATCATGGTTGGTCTTTGATGTTATTGCTTCCATTCCTTATGAAGTTGTTCACATTGTGCTACCACCTTCTCTTCAAATATATGGGTACTTCAGTATCCTTCGCCTTTGGCGCCTACGAAGAGTTAGTGCCATGTTTGCAAGGTAATTACATACCTTAAAGTTTTCTTTCTTCTAAAGACGAAATTATATTTCAATTATAAATGTTTTACATAAAACTTCAATCAACAATAACAATTTTTAACTACCTAACTTGATACATATAGAAACTATGACATGTTCCATCAACTTGAGAGCTACATATCTAAAACTAATTCCAACTTGGATATTAGTGAAAGAAAATGAATTTGAGGCTAAGACAATGCTTTGGTAAGAGGCCGTTTATCTACATTTGACTAGCAACAAATATAATTTTAAGAAAACTAGCCTAAAAATGTTATTAAAGTATGTTATTCATTATTTCAACCAAACTAACTCACTAGTAAACCAAGCTAATATTTTGCACTATACTTTAATTGATATGTATTATTAGTTTTTTTTTTAATTTCTTGTAAATTAATGATTGTCTAAGAAAGATACAAAAGTTAATGGTTGACTTGTGGGTGATTAAACAATTGTCGCAATAAACATCTACAAGGGTTATTATGTGAATGGATGAGGTGGAAAAAAACAGCATACCTTGTCTTTAGGCTAGAGTTCAAATATTTTTGAACATGTATTATGTTACATAAACTTAACGAAGGTTGAAGTTTTTGAATGTTACATAAATGCATTTAGCATATTGATTACATATATTATGTTAAGTCTATAAATTATAATACATGTGTATTTGCCAAAGAACCACCTATTCATAATTTTTTTAAAAAAAAGGAAATTTATACATGAAAGGATATAGTCAAACCTCACCACAGTGGTAATGACTTACAATTGCAAGAAATATTTTAAAAAAGTTGCAATGTATATTTTTCTTAACATAAGTAAATATTTATATTGGACTTTATAATTTTTAAATTTCAAAAGTATTTGAAATCTTTAAGAATTTTTAAATTGAGATTGCATGTGTTAGTGTCTTTTTTTATTTAATAAAGATTTGGACTTAATGTAATGATATTATCAACGTACATAAGTAATGAAAGCCATATTAAACTAATGAAGATAATTATTTTTGAAACTATTGCCTAGAGGCTTATCTAAGTTTATAAAGAGTTGTTGAGTTTACGAGCCATATTTTTCCTTACAACCAAACAGCTAAGTGGAACTAAGATGTTAATATCTTCATACACATAATTTTTCAAAAAACTTTTTGTACAAAATTGAAGCATGATCCAATTTTCTAGGGTGATTAGTGCAAATAAAATTATTATAAATGATTTTTAATATTGATAAAAAAAAGTATTAGAAGCTAGTATAGACATGTCAATGTTTATGCTCTACAACAACATTTTCATAAAGTCCATAAGTATGTAAAAACTCATGTTTTGCAATTTATTTATAAATAATTTTTCTCTGAATTTTTCTAATCATTATGTAGCTTTTTGATGTTACATTCAAATGAGTCGTAAAGGTAAAAAATGTTTTTAATCAATTAAGATGTTTATAGTTTATATTTTATCAAATATAGCCATAACCTTATTACACCATCTAAAATGGTAAAAGTAGTGTTTTTTTTTAATCATAATTAGGATGATTAAAAGACTTCACACATCATAACGGAAAGGTGAAGATAGTTTCTTTGCATTGTCACTCTATAACTTTTTGACGTCATTGTCAAATTAAGTCATAAAAATGAAGAAAACTTTAATTGACTGAAATGTTTCCAGCTTTAGATTTAATCAAATATAGTCGAGTGAATCTTGCTACATCATCTAAAATGGTAGAAAAAAGCGTTTTTTTTAATCATAATTAAGATGAATGAAAAGACTTTATACATTACTATGAATAAAATCAAATGGATTATTTGCAAACTTATTTTTAGGTACAAAAAGTAGTTTATGATACTTAGTGAAAATAAAAATGACACATATGAGAATTGAAATTGGTGGAGAGGGATATGGGAATTATATTGAGTAAAACTTTCATTATTTACAATGAAATCATAAGTAAAATATTGAATATATAATATAAAAAAAATCTCTCATAGGATAACAAAAAGGTCTTAATAAAAATTATATTTACAAATCATTTTTAACTTTTCATGTCCTAATTGGCAAAAGAATTATCAACAAAAGCAATAAAATAATTGAAATTACGTAACAATAAAATGTAAAAAAATGATCACATGAAGATTTAGTATGTACAAAATTTTAAAAATAATAAAATTAGGATATAAAGACAATGTCTAATACTTTAACTAGGATATAATAACCATTTGACAACATGGACAAGTTTACGATAAAAATAAAATAAAATTTAACATGTTTAAAGTAAAAGTTATATGAGTGGTGGCAGTATATCAACGATTTAGGTTTTAGGATCTACAAGAAGTTGAGTTCAAGGTTAAGAAATCAATATCAAGATAAGGATTAGACATTGGTGTTTTGGCTATTTGATATTGTACATACTTTATCAATTATAGAAATATGTTGAAACTCATTTGAGGATTAGCATTATATTGAATTTGAACATATCAAAAACTTAATTATCAATAAGTGGTCAAATTTTTTATGTAACGAAAGATAAACATAACATTTGAAATACTTACCTTTGGTGTATTTAGGTATACCACAATGAGGATATATGGATTTGTTTCTATTTACATATTTTTACTTCAGTTTTTGAGAAGAGTGGATGGCATAAGTCATGTGAAGCGATTGTGTTATTGTTAACTTTCTTTTTTTTCTTTCTTAATAAATCAATGAGAAGACATAATTTATAATGAAGATATTTTACAATATTAATATTTTTCCTTTAATCGAAGAGAAAGGTCGATCAATTTACATATTTTGTATGAAAATGGTTGATTAAAGGTTGGACTCCACCATGCATACAACTATGCATTAGCTTATATTTCCCAAAGTCTTCCTATTTTGTGAAGTATTGGCTTAGTGAAAGACATTTCTAAGTCTAGGTTGGGAAGATACTTCTTCAATTAAAACACTCGTAAGGTATCATGCTAGTGAAAATATTCATAAAGATCCTTCAATATGTTTATAATAGTGGAAAATAAATCATCACATTGCTAGTGACCATTTTAGAAATTTGAGACAAGAAGTTATGAGTAATCTATGTACAAAGACTAGCTTATTTGTGTCAATTAATGTTATATGCATGATGTGAAACCATAAATTGTAGTTATTTCCTGTCAAGGTTTGTAACAACAATATCAATTTAGGACTATATAAAATTTCACAAAAAATAAGATAGGAGAATTTTCCATTATGAATGAAAAAGAGCCTTCAATGAAAAACATAAAGTTGGAAGGATTAGCATAGTAATAAATATTATAAACTTGCTAAAAAAAATCAAAATGTAAATACTTAGTTTCTTTTCTCTAATTTCACATTTAACAAGTAATATGACAAAATTGGAAAAGATTTGGATATTAGTAAATTTATTGATCTCAAAAAAGTGTTATAGATGTGTTATCCTTTTGTACTAAAGCTAGCAAACATAACTTACCTCGCAATAATCAATAACTAATAACAATTTGTAACAAAGTAACTTGACAAATTGCAATTGAATTTGTAATATTGAGAATAAAATATGATTGACAATGGACTAAGTGAGATTACATGAATCAGATAAATATTATAAATCATAATTTAAAACCTTATTAGGGTTTATATCCTTTAACGTGCCTGTATATATAATTTAAACTAGATATATGACCTAAGAATGGAAAGAGGCATGTACAAACATTAGCACTCCTAATGATTTTGGCTTTCTGCAAAAGGTATATAATGAAAAAAAAAAAAAAACCATAAAATTAAGTTTAAAAAAAAATATTTCATTTTACTTACATTGTACTTACATTGTTCCTTAATGTGTTAGATTGGAAAAGGACAGAAATTATAACTACTTTTGGGTCCGTTGCTCCAAGCTTACATGGGTGAGTTCTTATATAACAATGAAAATTTTGGTTCGATCATAGTCTTAATGATATAAGACAAGATATTTTATTAGTAATGATATATTGGTTTTTCTTCTTTTTTTTTTTTTTTTCTATTCTTTATAGGTTACTCTATTCTCGGTGCATTTTTCTGCATGCATTTTCTATTTTCTTGCTGTAAGGCGTGATCCAAAATCAACATGGCTTGGACTTGTTCCTGATGCCATTGACCAGAATTTGTGGGGAAAATATGTAGTATCAATATATTGGGCCATAGTGACTCTTACATCAGTTGGTTATGGCGATTTGCACCCTATAAATACAAAAGAAATGGTATTTGATATTTTGTATATGCTCTTTAATCTTGGACTCACCTCATATCTAATAGGAAACATGACCAACTTGGTTGTCCATTGGACAAATAGAACTAAGAGATATGTAAGTATAATTTATTATTCACCATAATTTATATAGTTCACATTTATTTTGTTTTTATTTATTTTTCAAGAGGTTCATTGATTATAATTTGAATTGAAATTTTTTTTTTTTTTGGCATAATAGAGAGAAACTGTCCAGTCTGCCTCAAATTTTGCCAAAAGGAATCGTTTGCCTATCCGTTTGCAAGAACAAATATTTGCTCACTTGCTTATGAAGTATAGAACTGATTTAGAAGGACTACAACAACAAGAGATTATTGAATCCCTTCCAAAAGCCATTCAATCTAGCATCTCACACTACCTGTTTTATTCACTTATCGATAAAGTGTACTTGTTTCATGGAGTATCAAACGATCTACTTTTTCAATTGGTAATATTTTATATCTATTATAACCTTACCCATTTATGTTAAACGAAAACAACCCAAACTTTTGAGGATATATATATATATATATATAATTGTATTAGTAACGAATAAGCATCTAAAATGACAAATAGTATTAATAAAAAGGATTTGAGAATAATTTTTTAGATATTTATTTGTTGTTATTCCTTTTATTTTGATTGAAGGTTACAGAGATGAAGGCTGAATATTTTCCTCCAAAGGAAGATGTGATTTTGCAAAATGAAGCTCCAACAGACTTTTATATATTGATTACTGGAGCAGTTGTAAGAAATTGTTTTTCTACTTATTTTCACGTGTTATATTACATTATACACACATAAACTATCTTTCATTTTAGTATTTAGAGTAGTTATATTTGTAAAAAATGGTTTGCATATACAATTCATCTTAAAAATCAGATATCCAAATTTTGTCAATATTTAAAAATAAGAGCATAAACAACAACAAAAAAAGATTAAAAAAAAAAACACAAAGGAGAATAGTATTATTGCAATTAAAACTAAAAAAAATAAAAAAATGAAACTAAGACATTTATTCCATAATTATCGTTTTTAATGTATATGAAGTAGGTATTTTTTAATGTTATTTTTGCATTTTGTAATTTTCTTATAGAAAAATATGACAAATCTTAATTTTATTTTATTTTTTTGTGTAACAGGATCTTGTTATTCAAAAGAATGGAATAGAGCAGGCAAGTTCTTATACATTAATATTTTTGTGAATTAACTTGATTTTTCTTTATCTAATGTCAAGAGACTAACCAAATGAAAAGACTTATTTTTGTGAGTAACATTACATGTTGATTCAATTATATTAGGTTATTGGCGAGGCAAGGACAGGAGATTTAGTAGGAGAAATAGGAGTGTTATGTTATAAGCCACAAGTATTTACTGTTAGAACTAAGCGATTAAGCCAACTTCTACGATTGAATCGAACTACATTTGTAAATCTTACTCATTCAAATATTGGAGATGGAACAATAATCATGAACAATTTTCTTCAGGTATATAAAATATTTGAGCTCTTGAGTTTTTATTTTCTTTTAAAAATGCTTATAGTCGGTAAATGTTATAGTTTTTTTTTTTTTTTTTTTTTTTTGTATATATGTTAGATGTTTTTATCACTTTTAGTTCTAGATTTTAATCTTTTGGTTTAACTCATTTTATTTTCTACTCCAATGACATAGACCACAAAATAAGGTACTAAGTCCTTTCATGTCACTATAAACTTCCCTATTGAAGACCATTATTTGAAATATTTTGATGTTTTTAATAGAAACATAAGTTATTAAATCTCAACTTAATTATCTAATATTTTAGCCATTATACAATCTTTTATCTAACTTTTTAACACGGTTCCATAAAGAATGCTAAATAAAGGAATGCTTGACCTTTCAATTGCTTAATACTTATATCTCTCTCACTTAATGTGTGTGTATGTGTATGTTGTTCTATGCCAACCCAACAAAGTTCAAAACTCACCACCTATTATCTTGAGCTCACTAGTAGCTTAATATGTAGACTAGGCTAAACATATGGTTCAAATCCATTTTGACACAAATGCATGCCCATTCAACACTCTATACAAGCTCGATGCATGGGATCATGACAAGGAGGTGATGCATATAACCCCACAGGACAACAATCAAACTAAACATGACCACAATGCAAAGGATCACTATAGTTTCATGGTTGTGCATCGCCTGCATCCAAGGTTTATATAAGTAGCCAAGGTCGTTACAAGATACATTCTATCACCTACCATTACTTTATTAATCCAAACACTAAGTTGCATTAAAGTGTCTTTTTTCCTCATTATATTCAATCTTATATTGATCAGTGTAGTGATGCCTAACTTATGGACCATATTAGGTTCATCATTGAGGCTTATTATAGTGGTGCCATCCATTAGTTTGGCACCATATATGAGAAACAATAAAATTATTTTCATTCATTTAAGTCTATAGGTCAAACTCCAACACTGTGGCACACTTGTCCCTTTGAAATGAGCAATCATAATATTCAAATAACCTTCGACCCCTTTAATATTATCATTGCTACCTTTGAGATCCTTAGTTTTTATAAACATCCTTTGTTTATTGCTTCATACTATATTGATTTTGATTTTTAAGAACACCTTAAAATATTTAGCAATAAATAATACCATGCAAGCAAAGAATGAATTGCTCAGGCATTTCTTGGCTCACTTCTATAAGTTATCTACCATGATCTCGAATATGTATTGGTGTATATATGTGTGTGCCCGTGCAAAAGTATATGTGCGTGACTGTTTGGATCTGTAAAAATGCTACAAATATTAAAAAATAGTCCTTTTGAGGACTAATTGCATGTTTAATTTTGCATCTTAAAAGGTTAAAATTGTTATTGGAACATAGTTCCTACGCGGGAAAATGAAATTGTATAATAATTGTCCTATAATGACAAATCATTATAGGATATAAAAACCATGGTCTTCAAATTAAGCTAACATACTACTTGCTCCCGGGGTTGAGTTTGTCTATGTTGTTATGACTAGTTTTATTCCTTGATGCAGCATTTGCATGAATCAGAGGCGCCGTTGATGAGAGAAATTTTGGTAGAAACACAGGCAATGCTAACTCGGGGAAAAATGGATTTGCCAATTAGTTTATTTTTTGCAGCTAACAGAAGTGACGATATATTATTACATCAGTTGCTAAAGAAGGGTTCAGATCCAAATGAAGCAGATAGGAATGGAAAGACTGCATTGGTTAGCAAATATCATTTCTTCTTATAAAAATAAATTTTTTTTTAATATTTGACCCTTACAATTTATATCTTTCACATGTAACAGCATGTTGCAGCTTCTAAAGGCACTAAACATTGTGTAGTTTTGCTTCTAGAACATGGAGCTGATCCCAACATCCAAGGTATAGTTAGAACTTTTTAAAAATTCAATTAATGTTAAAAATAAAAGACTAATACCATTGGTAAATTATTAAAGCTATTAGACAATACTTTCTAAACGTGAAAACCAAAAAGATGATGGAAACATTTAGTTTCAAATGTCACAATGAATTTAAAAGCAACTCTTTCTTCATTTGAATTATACCATTTGTAAAGCATGTTTATCCTCAATTTTTTTTTAATTAAATGCTAATATAGTGTTTCATTTGGTACATATTCAACATAAAAAGAATTGCTTTGTCCATGCATGATGAATTCATTGCTTCATTATTCTTTATTTGAATGAAACTTCAGTGCTGAATTATTGTTTTATTCGGCGCACCTTTTGGTTTTATTAATACATCAACTTTATTTTTCATAAAGGAGTTAGGTTGGTATTGAACTCATTGGTGTAATCTCTAATTACTCTTATTTATACAGATTCAGATGGAAATGTCCCACTGTGGGAAGCAATAAAAGGTGGGCATGAATCTATCATCAAACTTCTTGAAGACAATGGTGCAAACTTATCATCTGCTGATGTAGGCCATTTTGCATGCATCGCTGTTGAGCAAAATAACTTAGAAATGCTTAAGAACATTGTTCAATGTGGTGGGAATGTGACACGGTCCACAAGTAATGGAACCACTGCCCTCCATTTTGCAGTGAGTGAAGGAAACGTTGAAATGGTGAGATTCCTTATAAACCTTGGAGCAAACATTGACAAGCAAGATGGTAATGGCTTGACTCCAAGGTATTTAGCAGATCAACAATGCCACGAAGAAATACAAAATATTTTCCAAAACATTGGACAAATCAAAGTAACAAATGCTTCTCCTACAATATCAAAGAATGGAGGGTTTGTAAAGTGTCGAAGTACACCCTCTTCCCAAGGACGCATGCCACCTTATCAAGAACTGACATGGTTTGATAATCATCAAAGAAGAAGGGTTAGCCCTTTTCATAATTCCTTTTTTGGGATAATGTCCGCAGCAAGTGGTAAGTAAGCATTTATCTTTCAAATTTAATTGACTTTAACTTGGATGCAAATTTTCAAATGGCTCAAGGAAAGAAAGCAACAAAAATATTTGTATTCCGTTACTCAAATACAAGAATGACTTGAGATAAATAAATACAACAATGATAGCATTTTAATATACACAGGGATGGATCTACTGAGAATAATTACTATTTTAACAATATGAATATTATAAATCTGGATTATGTATGATATAACCATGCGTATTAATGGTCAAAATAAAAGTTAATCAATAATTGCACGAGCACTTAAAATTGTAATGTATATTTTATTTTTAATATTTATCATGTAAACATGATCTAATTGTTTGTATTTTGATTATTCTCGTGTCTTACACTAACTAAATATTCAAACCTGAATAATTCAATTCAAACGTAAATGCAATGTTATTCGGTACTTATAAAAGACGTTGCAAATGGCATTTCAAACCATCTTGAGAGAAATAAGTATATGAATAGAAAGAGAAAGACAAAAGAGTTTTTTTTAGAGAAAGAAATTTTACTTTCATGATAATTTGCATGTTTGACATGGTTATTAAAGAATGGAAATACGACAATTATGAAGTTCATTTCATTGTTGACTGCTAGGGCATTCAAATTCAATCCTACTTTTTACTTTGGGATAGTTAATTTTAATTTTACTTTTGATTGTAGATAAAAAGGATTCCAGCTCTCCATCCGTCAGAATAACAGTTAGTTGTCCAGAAAAAGGTGAACATGCCAAAAGGCTTATTTTTCTCCCAAATTCTCTTCACGAACTGCTACATATTGGTGTTGAAAAGTTTGATTACTCACCCACCAAAATATTGACTAAAGAAGGAGCTATAGTTGAAGACATAGAGGTTATAAGAGATGGTGATCTTCTTATTCTTGCGCGCGACTGAAGACCATTTTAAACACTTTTGTTATGTGTATACACATTGTAATTATATCCTACAACTATGTCACTAGTTAAAAAAAATTAAAACTCTAGTTAATTTATTCTTACTATGCAGGGACACGGGATTATTTATATTTAATATTAAATAGGAATAAAATTATATTTATTTTAAAATATATTTTTAATTACTAATTTTAATAAATATTTATCATCTAATTATTATAATAAAATATTTTTCAATTTTTTTTGTAATAAAAAATAATTCAAACAGATTTTATAATTTTATAGATGGATATTTTTTAAATTTTATGATTCTATAACAATTTTCTGTTATATCACTCATCTTTGAAAGGTTTAACTATTGCATTTTACATATCTTTTATGTTGTCAATAATGTAAATATATATTTTTAAAAAATTTTTGAAATATTTCTGTAAGTGACCCATCATATGAGACCTAGCTAGAAAATTCTTGCTTTATTTGATACTATTGTATAGCCAATTTTATGTTATATAAGTCGTACAAATATATTACGTAAAAATATTTAGTCTATATTTTAATGGTCTTAATCGTTTTAATTATATTAGTATCAAAGTTTTTAATATTTAAAACATGACTCGATTAGCGTGTATAAATTTATAGATAGAAAATTATATCAATTGTTAAATGTTTCAATCAACTTATTGATATAAATTATAATTATAAAATATAAATATTGACTCTTAAAAATATTCTTTATCATATAATATTTAATTACTAAATTATTGATATATAAAATGTGGACAATATGTAAATATTTAACTTAACTTTTAATAATTTTTTTCTTAACATGAAAATTGTCTTAATTATCATTATTTTTAATCAACCTTTATATTATAAATGAGAAGAGAATGATGTGTAAGTTATATTTTCTATTATTTCAATAATTTTGTTTTGTTTTAAATGTTGAAGATAAAAATTACAGATATCTTTTATTTTTATAAAATTTATAATACTTAATACATTATTTTCACTTTAAAATAAATTATATTTTAAATATTATAATTTTATTAATTTTTTATTATTTTGATACATATTATTTGTAATTATAAAGTTAAATTAAATTATTTAAATAATTATGTTTTATATATATATATATATATATATATATTTAAATACATTTGTAAAGCAACTAGTAATCAAAATGCTTTTTTTATATTTATTTAAATGGTATTGCAACTCTTTTATTTCTCAAAAATCAACAAATTGATGTGAATAAGCTAATTAAAAACTAGTTAGTAGGTGTTTAATGCATAAGTAATATATATATATATATATATATATATATATTTGAATTTTTCATTAAAATATAGTTTAATAAATAATTGGAGAGAATTTTCGATAAGACAATAATTTTATTTTATATCATAGCACTAGCTAATTTATAATCCTACCATATACGATTTATTCATATCTAAAAACAATATAATTAGAATTATAAAAATTTAATATATAATTAAATATATTTTAATTATAATTTTAATAAATATTAATAAAAAAACATTTGATGAAAAATAGATCAATTTTATGATTCAAATATATTTATAATCATATAAAATATAATAATATATTTTTTTTTGAAACTTTTGTAACGTATGATTCATATTTAAATAAGATAAATTATATATTTAGTTAGTTGGTTATAATAATATTTTATTAATTGATTAAATTAAATTTTATTAAATATTTATATTAACTTTATTTAATGTCTAATTTATTTAAAAGAGTTGTATGTCAAATTAATTACTTTTTCTCTTCATGATACATTTAACACAATAATAAAATCTAGTTGGTGTTTTTTTTAATTATAGTAATTTAATTTAAGAAAATATTTATTTTGATTAATTTATTTTGAATATCGATTTCAAATTAATATTTTTATGCCAAAAATAAGAAATAGACAATGGTAATTATAAAGGTGCTTATTATAGTACTATTAAATTTGAGGAAGAATAGGATATTTTCTCTAAATTATATCAAGATATTTACATTTTTTTAAAATATATCACTAACTCTACTATTAAAATTAATGGATTATAATTGTTCCACTTATACAAAAATATAAAATATTCTCTCATTTCTTAGGACATTTTCTGTCCTGCATGTTTATTTGTACGGGTGGATATCACCCACGTTTGGTTGGTCTGTAAATTCTTTTCTTTTTTTTACTTTCAAAATTTGCACAATTCGTATTTATTTAGTTTAACAAGTTATCTTTTTGCTTTTAGTTTGTGAAGCCCGTATCTATAAAATTGTCTTTTATTTTAAAAATTTGCACAATTATAGAGTTGTAGTGCAAACTTGTGTTTTCATTTTTAGTTTACAAGACATATATTCAATCGGTCCGCAAAATTATCTTTCCATTTTAAAGATTTACATAACCCAAACCAAGTTGGTATGCAAATTTGTCTTTCCATGTTCAACTTTTGCACGACTCACATCTTGTTGCTATGTAAAATTTTCTCTGTATTGTTAATTTGCAAAATTAACTTTTTCTTTTCGTGTGGAAGTTGTAGTAGCTATTGCCCCACAAAGTACTTTAACCATAGCTTTCAGAAAACTATTAGTTAACCTTTTAATAGAATTTTTTTTAATTGAAATCAGAATTAAAATATCTAATCCAAAGAGAGCTTTTATTTTCTTAAAGAAGTGTAAGGTGGCATAATTTTTTTTCACTTTGACACTTTGAAAATGTGAGAAGTGTTATAAAATGAATATAAAAATATAAGAAAGAATAGAGAAAAGAATACAAAGAATAAGAGAGAATCTCAATTTCATTTTTCGTATCCTCAATAAAAATGAGACAATTATTTATAAGCCTAAAACTATGACCGAAGAATCGCATTTCTTTGAATGAGAATTAAACAAAACAGTTATAAAATCGTAAGTTACAAAGAATAAGGAAGAGTTATGAATATGGACATTCACTCATATAATAATTCATAACACTCTCCCTTGAATGTCCATTATTTGAGAATATGTTTCATAACTTCTAAATAGAAAAAACTCAATGGGATAAAAGTATAAGAAAAATACATTATTATTCAATATGCTATTACATGCTACCTCATTAAAAACATTGTCAGGAAGATCCAATGGGAAAAAACCATAGTTAAGGTAAAAAGAGTGCAGAGCATATTTAATTCTCCCCCTTATGTGGACAATCATTTCGAAGACGACGAAGTCCAATCTTGTGAACTAGTTGTTCAAAAGTTTTACTTAGAAGTGACTTTATGAAAATATCTGCTAGATTCTCACATGAACAAACTTGTTGAATATTTATATCACCATTCTTTTGACGATCATAGGTAAAAAAGAATTTTGGAGAGATATGCTTTGTTCTATCTCCTTTAATGTACCCTTCTTTCAATTGAGTAATACATACAGTATTATCTTTACATATAATTGTTGGGGTCATTTTTTCTGAAGATAAACCACAAGTTTCTTGCACATGTTGAATCATAGATCTTAACTAGACACATTCTCGACTTGCTTTATGTAATGCTAAAATTTCTGCATGATTGGATGATGTAGCTGTTATGGTTTGTTTCATAGATCGCCATGAAATGGCTGTATCACCACATGTAAACAAATAACATGTTTGTGATAAACTATTATGTGGGTCAAACAAAAAACCCGCATCTGCATAATCAATCAACTCATATTTATATTTGTTTGGGTAAAATAAACCTATATCCATTGTACATTTAAGGTAACGAAATATATGTTTAACTCCATTCCAATGTCTTCTTGTAGGTGAAGAACAATACCTTGCTAATAAGTTAACAACAAATGATATATCAGGTCGTGTATGACAGGCAAGATACATTAGTGCTCCAATTGCACTAAGATAAGACACTTCAGGACCTAGTAGTTCTTCATCCTGCTCTCGAAGTTTGAAAGGATCTTTGTTTACATTTAGTGACCTTACAACCATTGGAGTACACAAAGGATGTGATTTGTTCATATAAAATCGTTTTAACACTTTTGAAGTATAAGTTTCTTGATTCATAAAAATTCTATTCTTTACATATTCAAGTTGTAATCCAAGACAAAACTTTGTCCTTCCAAAATCCTTCATTTCAAATTCTTTCTTTAAGCAATTTACTATTTTTGAAATCTCTTCAGGAGTTCCAATGATATTTAAATCATTAACATAAACAAAAATTATTACAAATTCATTATAAGATCATTTTATAAAAATGCATAGACAAATAGGTTCATTTTTATATCCATCCTTCAGCAAATATTCGCTAAGGTGATTATACCACATTCATCTAGATTGTTTCAATCCATAAAGTGATTTATTCAACTTGATTGAATAACTTTCTCTAGAATTTGAATTGTATGCATCTGATAAATTAAAACCTTCAAGGAGTTTCATATAAATGTCATTATCAAGTGAGTCATACAAATAGGTTGTAACAACATCCATTAATCGCAAATCGAGTCCTTCATTTGTTGTTATACTAACCAAGTATTAAAAAGTATTTGCATCAACTACAGATGAATATGTTTGTTCAAAATCAATACCAGGTCTTTGCGAAAAACCTTGGACAACAAGTCGTGCTTTATATCTCACAATTTCACCATTTTTATTTCGTTTTCGCACAAAAACCCATTTATATCCAACTGGCTTTACATCTTCAAGTGTACGTACTATAGGTTCAAAAACTTGACGCTTTATAAGCGACTTTAATTCTTCCTCAATTGCAGCTTTCATTTTTTCCAGTTACTTCTTTGTCTACACTTGTTGACTAATTTTGGTTCATGATCATCTATATCAGTTATCACATTCAATGCTACATTAAATGAAAAAATATCATCAATATTGACTTTATTTTGATTCCATTGTATTCTATTCATGACATAATTTATTGAGATCTCTTTATTTTCATCATTTTTAGGTACCTTGGTTTCTTCGGGAACTAAAATATTAATTATGTCTAATGACTCTTCTGGAGT